AGCCTTCAAAGATAAAGCCCATCTATAGAATTCACTAATTAGACCTTCTATTCACAAAGCCTATCTGCTCTGGTTCAGCTCCACACAGCTCTCTGTTCTATCATGTCCTCTGTTGAGCTTCCACAGCACATGGCGTGATATGACCAGCATACTGAGAGTTACTCATCAAAAGGTGTTCTCTTTGGATAGATTTTAGGTCAAGGCTCCAGGTTGAGATGAAAGCTGCGATGGGAGATTGTGTCCGTGTGTTTTATCAGACAAAAGCTTTTTGTGTCTAATTGTTGGAAAAATATGATATCGCTGATATCGCATGGGCATGTGCCAAGCTTTATGATGATGAGCGCTCAAGTCCCACAGTTGTGCCATATGTCAGAATGATATTTAGATTTGGAGCACAGCCTTCTGTGCAATGTTATCATCCACCAGCTGTCAGTCTGTTAAAAGATGATGGACAAAATCACCATTAGCCATAATCATAAAATGTCTAGATATGAGGCATAATTTAACAAACCTAGCATAATGAATAACTACAGCTGGGTAAGGTAGCCTAAACCCATACTTAAAGACTCAATAAATGTGTTAAGTCCTCTTACATAGACTCATATTTGCTAAAATATAGAACGCTAGCGCTGTTGTAGTAGCAGGTAACATGCTACTGCAGTAGCTTAGCATTTTACCACAGCACAGGTTCATTCCACCCACTGAAGTGAGTTTTGAGAATAAAGAGTAAGTCTGTATATTTGTGTGTGAAGCTGTTAGCCTAAGCTACTTTTGCTCCACGTTTGCTATAAGCTAGCGTTAGCTTAGTGAGAAAACCTAAGCTTTACACACAACTGTGGTTTATTCCAGAACATTGAAGCCTCACTGATGTAAGTTTAGAGGCTAAAGTATCAAATCTGAGCAGGCAAAACTGTGTTAAGCTACTTTTAATTTAAATCCTTGTTAGCACCAGAGGCCAACGTTAGCTTAGCGAGAAGATGCTTCACTGAGGCAAGAATCAAATCAGAGTTGTTCACAGTGGTGGTGATAGGAACCAGACGCCTCTAAAAGCAAACTAACAGACAATTATTAAATGAAATGGTTATGAATATACTGCCAGATGACTTAAACATTGTTTTGTGATAATTCTGAGAGAAGATTTTAGACTAAAATATATTTTTTTTAAATCCCTTTATGAGATGCATGTTGTAGGAGAAAATAGTCCCCAAAGAGTCCTGTTTCAGATTTACCACTAATTTATCATCAACATTATATATAAAAACCCAGAAGACACATGTTAAGTTTAATGTTTGTTTTATATAGATAAATGAAATGGCTATTTTGCATTGCAGACATTAGCCACGTTCCAAAGCCTAGGCTGCAGCCGAGGTAGCGCATGTCCACAGTAGGACTGTCCTATGAAGACTTCTCCTTAGTTGCCTATCGGTCACACAAATGGAACAGTCCTAACGAGGCTATGTGGTGACGCAGCTATTGTGACTCTTGGTTCCTGTCACCGCCACTGTAAAGAAATCTGTCGGTCAGTTTCTCTACAATAAATCATTTCACATCAAACAACTCTGGATGACTTTGTTTACATCCCAATGACTTAATTATGCATACATTCTGGAAAATGGGTGGAATTCCCCTTTACAAGTATTGAGTTCGTTATAGAACTGCAGTTGAACTAGTACATTCAGCATCTATCAGTATACAACCTGAAGTTTATGAGATACTATTTTTCTTTTTGATGCATTTTTGGTCTAAAATATAAGATAAACCTCAAAAGTCAGAAGTGAGACCAATCGCAGAGCAGCACAGATGCTAATACAGGCATATGAAGTTTGGGTGCCCCAGGTTAAATGATGTTTTATTGATTGAACTGAAAATATGTTAACACATTAATGCAAAATTACTGTCTATTTAACAAATAGGAACATAAACAACACATAAAATATGCAAAAGTTATACATTTTGTATTATAAGTTTTTTTTTCCAATGTGTTAAACTAAATAAATAGAAATTGCGCTCTAAAATGTGAAAAATATCACATTTAAGTTTCTCTGTAGAAAATGTTAACTTAGATTAAAAACATAATTTGACAATGGGTGTTAAAACTTTTGCACACAACTGTATCTCACTTACTGTACGGGTTCACTGAACCACTACTCATACACATTTAGTTTTTCCCATGAACACTAGAGGGAGCGCTGCCCAATGAATGCCAATACATCATAAGGCTATTTCCTTCAGCCTGTAAGGAAGCATTGAAGGCTTTATTGAGCTCCCGCTGCAGGCAGCAGTAGAGGTCAGACAGGATAAGTAGGGTGGAGACAGGCCAGTGGCCTCATTCCTTCTGGCCTTTAAGAAAACAATACAAGTCAGTACACCCTGTTTCCGCATACTGAGCCTGCAGACAACATGGTAATTTTAGAATTTAACTTTAATGCATATCATTCACAGGCGTACGACCAATAATACTCAGACAGTGCAAGATAAAGAAATCAGAAATACTTTATTCGCTAAACAAGTTACAAAAACACAGAAATGTCTAAAAGTACAAAATGTTCCGATGATGTACGCCATACACTCTTAAAAATAAAGGTTCCTTAATGGTTTTTGGCTTGGCTATGTGGTTCTAGAAAAGCCTACACTGTAGAAGGTTCTTTTCTGTTGGAAAAGATGTTCTTTCAACTTTAAAAAGATTCTTTATACTCACACATCCCTTTTTGCATCATGTTAAAAAAGAAAATCAGCTCTTTTGATCATGAATAAAGTGTGGTAAGATGAAATAATGTTTGATCACTAGGCCATACGCCTACTCCAATAAGCTCTTAATCTCTCTTAATAAGGAAATGTATTTTTAATATAAATAATAATTGTATATTTTGGAATAAGCCCAACATGCATGACCAAAATGCTAATACAGTTATACTGATATATTATGTTGACACAGTTATATTGATAAAATGATAAGACAGTTTACTAGAATTTTACTTGAAGAATGCTACATAACATTGACTTAACCTTGCCATAAACATGTCGTGGCAGATGTCATATGCTGTAATGAGTGGCCATGAGAGATTATGTCAAGCAGTATAACAGTGTCACGTTATCATTACTGTTACTCGCTTACATCTCATGCTAATTTTTGCCAAGTGTACTCTAGTTAGCCATCATGACATCAAACATTATGACATCTGTCAATGCAATTCACATAAAAGGTAACATGACATTGTTATATTGCTTGACATAATCTCTCATTACAACTTATGACAGCATATGACACCTGCCATAACATGGTTATGGCAATGTAAACTCAGAAGACATTTCCAAGAAGAGCAAAAACCATTACATTTCGATGGACAATTACAGGAAAACAAGAATTTTGTCTTTTAAATGATGCAGTGAATTGTGGTTTTCACAACATAAACATTGTACATTGGAAAAAAAGCGTGTTTTGATTTCGGGGTGACTGTAAATCTTATAGAATATGTCTAATGGTGAATTCATAGCTTAACTGCAATATATGGAAATAGTGTCAACTGTCTACCTGTGGTTACATGAATCACTCTGCTTTATTTATGCTTATTTTTGTAAATATTCTGCCTATGCAGACTGACGGAGATCTTTGGTGAAACCTTAAATTAGGTAAATTAGGTTTCATAAACTACTGTTAATGTTTACAAACCTATAATACATGTAAGACAAAAGTCACTTGTGTCATGAAGGGAAAGTCAAAGAAAAAAAGAAAGAACAGAATTTGAGTTCAAATTGTAATACAGAGAAAATAGAACTCCTAACAACCACCTGAAAGACCAACAAAACTGTCACCGTCAGATAAATACAACACTTACAGCTTTCATCTTTGAGAGGGAGGAGAAAATCAAGCTGCTTCAGATCTGAAAAATCTACAGGTGTTACTGTCCATCCTTCCACTGTGAAAAGACAACTCAACACTATGAGTCTGAAAGGATGTGTGGCTGTCAAGAAGCCCTTACTGAGAAAAGGAAATGGACAGAAATGAAGAATCTGCACTGAACATGAGATGTGGAGTAAGGTTTTATGGTCTAAATTCATACTTGGGATCATTACAAGCAGAAAATTCAACCAACTTCTAAGACTGAACTTTGGAGGTGTGGAAAAATATCCCTGCAGATTTCTTTGAAGAACTGAACGCAAGTCTCCTGAAAAGAATGGAAGCTGTAATAAAGGCAGAGAGAGAGAGGACACACTAAATACGAATAAATCAGATATTATATTTAGTTGTTGAAGCTTTTGTGTAATATCCTGTTAAATAAATGTTTTGTTCTTTTCCTGACACTGAAAAGTGAATAACTTGTGCTTAGTGAAATTAATGAAGGCATTTGTCTCAGAAAATAAAAGTTAGGCCAGCAAGTTAACCAACTAGCTAATTAACAAGCTAATGCTGGAAATATTGCTGTTAGCTGGATAGTTATCTATCAAGGTAGGTAATGTTATGCATATGGTAGCTAGTGCGGTAACTAGCTAATGCTTGGTAACACTTTTTTGCCTTTGAGCAAATCTGGTCATTGTTTAGTCTGATTGTATTTCCTACACACTTTTAGGCTAGTTTTTAATCTGCATCTAAAGAACATTATGGGTTTGGTCCCGAGGTTAGGGATCCATAAAGAGCCTTTTTTAGGACAGCTTTAACAAAGAACTTTTTTGAAAACCATTAAGAACGCTGTTTCTTCTGTGGCATCACTCCAAAACTCCTTTTTTGGTTCCAGTTAGCATATTTTGTTTTTAAGAGTGTACTTAGGCCAAAAAGGGGCAAAAAAAACAAACTTCCATATGTTTGCCACACACAATAAAACATATCGGTCTCTCTACCATCAGAAGCCATTGGTAACTAGTGTGAAAAATAATAATATTAATATTAGTTTTACAATATACTTGTAAAAAAAGAGAAACAAATGGAAACGTTGTTAGCACACAAGAGCAGATCATTTTAAACGAGGCCCTCTGTCCATCACAATGCACCCAGAGCGGGACAATCAGGACTCTGAGTCTCTCCGCTCTGAGGTAGTGATAAAGGCCAGCGCTTTGTGGGCAGCGTAAGAGGAGGTGGGCAGTGGGCCGGGCATGCTGGAGGGTGAGCGCTGAGCCTGACGCTCCAGGGAACGATAGACTGAGGGGGACAGCGAGCGGCCCTGAAGGGTCACATTAGAGCCCAGAGGCGAGGTGGAAGTCCTGGGGGTGCGGCTCAGCGAGGAAGTGGAGGAGCTGGCCGTTTGAGTCCGGCTGCTATAGCCATACGCCGCACTGCTCATGAGGAATTCCCGGGAGCCGTAGGCAGGCGGCGTAGGACCGCGAGACGGTGGCTCGTGCGGCAGGCTCCTCCGTCCAGGCGTGTCATAGATGCCCAGAGCGTCCTGGATGGGTGGCTGTGGGCGAGCCTGAGGCAGCAGCAGCAGCTGCTGCTGTTTCTCGCGCTCCTCCAGCTCCTGAATGGAACCCATGAGGCCTTTAGGGAGGTTGTCGTAGCGCACAGGGGAGGACTCACGGTGCTGGGGCGACCGCCGGCTCGCGGTCATGAAAACAGGGCTGCAAGCTCGGGGGGATCGTTCGGTGGGACTTCTGCCCAGGTCCATGGGGAGGAAGGGAGCACGGTAAGCCAGAGGGAACACACCCCGCTGGGGCAGCTCGGCTGGGCCGAGGAGGCTGTCATAGGAGAGGCTGCCAGCACGCCCGCTGAGGACGCTCTGGGCAGGACGGGAGGCAATGGCCTGGGGGCGCTGACCAAGCAGGTGAGCCCGGTCCCCTCGGCGGTGGGCGTGTTTCAGGCTGAGTGAACGGGAGTTGAGGGTAAGCGAGTTCAGAGGCAGTGTGCTGGACTGCAGGAGCGAGTGGGCTGAGATTGGAGTTTGCTTGTCAAGCTGATCCAGACTGGACTCGGAGGACTGATCCTGGGACCTGCTGGTCATCTGGAGCTGGGGGTTCTCCCTCTTACTCATCTAAAAGAACAAATATGGAAACAGGATATGTTGATGATAAAGCAGGAAAAGGTTTGCTTAAGAAATTCTAATTGTGTTATCTTTTAAAGCTGTAGTTTGGCGAGAAATCCAATTTACTGAATTTTCCTCTTACCTAGGGGTGGGCAATATGAAGATTTTGTCATTATCATGATGAGTTACATCATACACATATGAGCGTATAGTGAATATTGGTAGTACATAAAGGACAAAGAATGTTCTGTTATAAAGAGCTTATTTGGCCTGCTTAATTGTTTCTATTGTAGCACAGAACATGAAAAGTTAAACAAACAAAATTGTATCAGTAAAATGTGGCACCATTGGTACTTTTCTTGTCTGTTAAACCTCAATAAAATGAAACAAATGTATATATCACTGTGGCATGTGCCGTCAGCAAGTGACAGCGGGAGGAGGACATCGGCCGTCAGAGAGGGGTCGAACATTTTTTGAAATGTTTGGCAAATTGAAGTGGCCTCGCTGCGGGACCAGAGGCAGTGCGCCGTCCCCCACTCATCGGGGCCCAGGGGATGCCGCATGCCACAAACACCCACTCCTACTCTCATCCTATATGTAGTTATTCAGCCAAAACATGTTTGGTGTTCAAAGGTTGCTTCTGTTATTTTCACTGGGGCTTTTCTCCATTTGGATAACTATACCACTGCTTTCAGACCAAAACCTTGTATCTCCATTTTTGTTGTTTTTCATTATGTTACAATTGTAAAATGCCAATTACCCTTTAGATTGAGACATATTTTCATGATGAATGGCCCAAATGGAAATGGTCCAAAATGCCTTAAAATAAGATAATGTTCAACTAATTGTTAACTACTATTCAAAGTTAATGATGTTTTCTCTTTTCCTGTGAAGTTACTTTTTCGAAGACAAGTTTTGCCCAGTTTTGCATCAATATGTAAAACACGTGTGTAATTGCTGCAAAGTTTGCATAAATATGTAAAACAAGTGTGTAATGATTAAGACATGCAGTTTGCACATTGCTAATTGGTGGGGTAAAAGTTTCCATTACATCTTAATTACATTAGCCTTGTAGCTGAAACTATTAATTTAAATTGTTCACTCACCTGTTCCCTGGGAACTTGGTAATGGACTCTGGAGGGCGACTCGAAAATCGGACCTATTTTGCTCATGTTCTGGCCAGGAGGCACTGCAGTCTTGGAGTGCAGTAAGCTCTCTGGGGCAGAAAAAAAAATCATTGTTTTTTTATGATCCCAACCTGAAGCTAACCGTTAATCATTTACATTAAAATAAAACAACTTCCAGTAAAAAAAAACTTACAATATCTAGACTCAAGATGGGCAATTTATGAATGAATTTGCTAATTGTAGATGGTTTTAAAATAACTAAGAAAGCTATATATCACTGGGAATTAAGATATATAATAAAATTATATTTCAAAAATAGAGATCAAATTTTAAGGTAGACAACAAAACAAAATCCAAGAGTTCATGTTAATAATTTTATTCACTTGTTAACATAATTCTTTAAATACTGAATGCAGCACCTAAAAGTACCTTTTGGTGAATAGTTTGTCATTTAAATCCACACAGCAAAAGATACTGACTATAAAATAACATAAATTGTAAATATGGCAAATGATTCCAAATCTTTAAACACTAAGGTAGTTTTGCTTACAGCTGCTTGTGTCCTGCCATTCTCTGTGCTTCTACGATGCACACTCTTATTTTAAACTACAAGCTATTATAAGATTTATTTCATTCTTTTAATTACAAACTACTTTCCTTATTTGAATTCCCTATTAAGTAAACGAATACTAAAGATAAGAGATTTCATATTTGAATAACCAAGCCTTTCCTTTGCTCTGTGTGCTCTCTTATATAATCAATTTTCCATTCACTGATAACAATAGTTAAGGTACAATAGTGACACAGATGCCTACCTTCCAGTGCTGCCAGGTGGCTCTTGAGCAGTACCGGGTCGGGTTTAGGGGGCAGAGGCGGTGGAGTGTTCGGCCGTTTGAACTCAGGAACGTCCAGCACTCCTGGGGACTGACGCTGGAAGGGGATAAACATGAAAAGCATGAACACACCCATGAGAGCTAGCAGAGCATTAAATGGGCCTCCACCGGTACAGTTAAGGCACCATCAAAGACATCCTCCCACAGTTAGAAAGGAAACAAAAGCTGCAGTTAATGCGCACAGGACTTTCATATCCCTTGATTAAAATCCTAAAATAGGTTCTTCACAAGCCCATAAGGTATAATTTGGGAAGACATAAAGAGAGGTGGTACATTCCTGTTAGATTAGGAGCTGGATTTCAAATCATTGCCACACTTTCCCTTCTCCTGAGAGCTTATAAAACCTGGATGACTGTGATTCTTATACTCTATTACATTATGATGTTATACACCTATGAGCCAAAATATTATAATGACTCACAGAGGAAGCGAATAATGTTGATTATCTCCTAACAACAGCATATTTCAAGTTCTGCGATGTATTAGACGGTAAGCAAACAGTCGCTTCTCATAGTTGACGTGTTGAATGCGGAAGAAATTAGCAGTGCCTAATCGTTATGGCCAGTCCCCTGGGTCAGAGCATCTCCAAAACAGCAAGGTTTGTGGGGTGATCCCAGACAGCAGTGGTGAGTACCTACCAACAGTTGTCAGAGGAGGGAAAAACCACAAACTGGGGTCACAGTGTTGGGTGCCCAATCGATCGGCTAATCGATGCACAAAGGCAACGAATGCTATCCCCTCTGGTCTGAACTGAAAGAAGGGCTACTGTGGTACAAGCCACAGGAATGTTTAATGATGATTACAGGATGAATGTGTCATAAAACTGCGTAAATTGCTCAAATGGGGCTGCATAGCTGCAGACCGGTCATAGTGTCAATGCTTATCCCTGGCCACTGTCAATGGGTATGTGAGCGCTGGAACTGGACTTTGGAGCAATGGAAGGTCGCCTGGTCTGATGAGTCCTGTTTTCTTTTACATGACGTGGACAGCCGAGTACATGTGTGCTGTTTACCTGGGGAAGTGATGGCACCAGGATGCACCGTGCGAAGAAGACAAGCTGGTGGATGGAATGAGATGTGATGCTCTGGGCAGTGCTCTGCTGGGAAATCCTGGGTCCAGACATTCCCATGGATGTCAATTTTAGACGTACCACCTACCTAAACATTGTTGTGGACCAAGTACCCCCATTTATGGCAGTGGTATTCCCCAATGGTAGTGGCCTTTATAATCTATAATACACCCTGCCACACAGCACTTGGTTCGGGTATGGTTTGAGGAATATGACAAAGAGTTCAAGGTGTTGCCTTGGCCTCTAAATGCCCAAGATCTCAATCTGATCGGGCATGTGTGGTGTGCACTGGAGCAACAAGTTTGATCCACCATGCAACTTAAAGAATCTGCTGCTAACGTTGTGGTGCCAGATGCCACAGGACACCTTCAGAGGACTTGTAGAACCCACACCTTGGTGGGTTGTAGCTGTTTTGCCGGCACAAGAAAGACCAACAGCATATTAAGCTGGTGGTCATAATGTTTTGTTTTCAGTGTGCAATAATAAATATTCACTGGCAGTATAGCATGAGGCTTTATCATACCTTTGTGGGAAGCATTTTGTTTTGGATCCCGTTGTCCCCAACTTTGACTGGCGACATTTTGAGGGATTCAGGTTTTTGGAACGGAGGCTGCACACGGACAGGCCTTTTCTTTCTTGGCTTCCCAGTATATCTGACAATAAAGAACACAGTGAACGTTACCTTTAGCAATGTTAGCTGTTCTAAATTCTGTACAGATGTACAGGATATCTTATAGAACACAGAGTATTTTACCTTGGAGTGATTGGACTGCACAAGACGAATTCCACATTACCACAACAACCACGTGTAAAGGGGTTCACGCCACCTTGGAACTTGCCAGTCACCTGAAAAAGAAAGCAGTCTTTGAGTATGACACAGCTAGTTTTGAAACAGAAGGTTTCTGGCCAATCAGGGCCAAACATCTTTTAGTTGTGTAGGAATAAGTAGGCATACACATCCAGCATATTACCTGTTCATTTGTGGTTCGTCCTCTTGCCACCAGGACCAGATGGAAGCAAGCCAACCCGACGACGGGGATGAAGAAAAGGCCTGTCACACTCATTACAGCCAGGCTGAATCAGTGCAGTCAAGGGGCAGCCCTCTTAAATGTATCCTTCAGCCAATGTCAATGCAGTGAAGAATGAATGAAAGGTTGGATAGCATAGTGGATAACACCACACTACTGCAAATGTAAAATCTGCGGTCCAGGTAAAAATGACATATGACTCATATGCCTTTCTCCAAGGCCTGGGTGATATGGCCAAAACTCTTATCACGATAAAAAATTCATATCAGTCAATGTCAATAATTATCATGATAAACATCAAATCATTAATTCTTTCAAGTTTAAAGGCTGTTTTCTGCTCCTGAGTGGTTATTTGTGATTTTAAACTATCCTTTATGGTCAGAACATGACAAGCATTTGTCAATCAGTGGCACATTTCACAAATCTGTCATGGGATGGTGGGAGAAAGTTTACCAGGTCAGGTGTTGTGACAGAGCGCTGCTTCAAGTTAGCCAGCTGCTAAAAACCCCACTCTCCAGTGCCACACTGCTTGGGAATGCTCTAATACTAAAATATGACAGTTTGAGCGCTGTAATACACAAACCACTTCGGCTGTAGTTGCGTGGAGCAGACATGATTTATCGCTGCTAAAGCTTGTGAACAGAGCACCAATAGCTCCACTCAAACAGGGAACGTATAACCTCACGTTTCAGATGTCGCCAAAGTATATCTGGCAACTCATTTTAGTTCTCGCCCCTTCCCTCATCTAATCATCTAAAAAACCTGGAAGTGCGCCCTCTTGTGGCTACAAGAGTACTGTTGCTTTCCTCGCGGTAGAAATGCCACCAGGGCTGTCGCTGGAATGCAGAAGTGTGGTGTATTATATCGAACATTTCTTATATTTCTATCAAGGAAAGTTATATCACGATAATTACTGTTATCGTTTTATCGCCCAGCCCTACAGTCTCCCAACACTTCACTGGCCCACCACTGTGGACGAGGGTTAATACAAATGTTAATGTATTAAAGCATGTATTACCAGTTATTTCATTCTTAGCCTTAGATTTTGTTGAAGAATCCCATGAATAGCTCTGTCACTATAATATTACCAATAAAGTTTGGTATTTCAACATGTAGTGACTCGTTTGTACAGAGTCGTATGTAGTAAGGATACGTGATGGCTGCACGCAGCGCCCATAGGTCTTCCATGTGCTCCAGCACGTACAAGAGCCCTCCAGAGAAAACGGCCACCATGTGCACGGTGAGAGACAGCAGGAAGAGGAAGAAGAAACGGTAGTTCCGTCTCCCGATGCAGTTGTTCACCCAAGGGCAATGATGGTCAAAGTCCTGAGAACCATATATTTGCCATACGTAATTTACCAGGTTAAGAATTTCACATTATAACTAGGAATATAACTTTCTCACAATAATATACTTGCAATTGCCAATACAAAATAGTATTTTCAATAGTTGTGATTAACAATTTAACTGTCTTTTCTTGTTCATTGTTTGAAACTATTCAAATACAAATCTAAAGCGGCCAAACTGGCTAACTAGCCACCTTACTTGCTAGCTACATTTACTTCGCAGCTAACACTGGTTATACTGGCAAATCAATACTGAACACACATAATCGTCTACAGTTACACAGAATAACTTGTAAAATCTCCATCCGGTTTTCTACTATTTGAAACTGGCAATTGTCCTGTACATTTTGTGAAAATGTCTTGGTATAAAATCTCCTTTCATTAACTTGCACTGAGCGTAAAGGAAGTTCTTTTCTTTTCTTGTAAAGTTGCCATTTTGGAGATAATTATTTTCCGATTTTTTTGGACAGCTTTCTTTTATTTTCATTTGTTTGTGTCAACACAACTTGCATACTGTTTGCTGCAGCATAATATGACTGGAATCTAACCACTGTGGAAAATGACTTAAGTTAGCTTAAGTAACCATCTCAAATAATTGCGATTATCGTGACAGGCCTAAAGTAACTTTGGATAGTGGTTTACTGTAGTAAACTGACTGATATGACTGTCAGTTCTCAATCGTCACACTTCTTAAACCTAAATTTCATCAGAAACGCAGTCTTGAATAATATTGGGTTAACCCATAATTCTTTGTGGCTTTGGTTTCTGTTGATCTATTTTTCTTATTTTTCATTAGTTCTCTTCATAAAAACTAGTCTATTTTATTGATAGATTCTTTTAATGCTGCATGAAAAGTCGGGGGTGCTTGTATCTGGTGCATCAAGATGTAATTCAACTCTGTTGTAGCACAATACACATTAACATACAATATGATACATATACAGTAAACAACTTACGATACAATACACAGTATACAACATTATATACAACCTTACTATCATGCTAAGTGTGAGGTTTGGATATGTTTTACATGTTTTCATTACTTTAACCATGATGGTGTTTGTGTTCAGACTGACCAGTTCAGCCAGTATTACTGTTACATAGTTAACTGGGTTGAATTATGTTGGTTTATCTGACCATCTAGGGTTTGCCCTATTGTTGGGAGATTGCAAGTTCAAATCCTGATGATGCTGAGACTAAAAAAGTCACCAAAACTAATAAAACTGATATTGGGTCATCAATATTTCATGTTATTATTGACCAACCGAAGTACCAGCTGGGCTGTAGAGTGGAGGAGGAGGTAAGAGTGACAGGAACATTATTATGTTCGTGCACTTTGCTCTCCTGTCACTGTATTTTCAGTCAGTTTCTCCCATGTTGTGCATTTCTAATGCAGGTAAACAGCCGGCCGCTCTGAGAAGTTTTAAGCAGCAGGATTTTTTTTCCCATTAGAGAATTGAATGAATGGCACACAATGAATAATACTCTGCTGGCCGCCTAAATACGGCTGACTGTATGCAGATTTCATCTGAAAGGGGACAAAACGATCGGGCCAAAGGGGATTAACCTGCTTTTCTCTCTCTCTCTCTCTCTCGCTCTCTCTCCCTGAAGCTCATATGCACACCCACTCCTCCCTCACCTCCACACAGTGGTCACAAACACTGCAGTGGGAGCAGCGGGGGGGTCTGTAGAAGTGGCAGGAGGCGCACCACTTCATCCGAACCTGGACGCCCCGGACCTCCACGTTCTTATAGAGAGGAGCACGGAAGTCGTCGTCCTTGTCTTCGTCCTCATTTGCTACAAGAGAAGCACCAAAGCTTAAAACTCATCCAAAAAGAACGATACTCATGTCAGATCTTCAGCATAATTAAATGGTTAAGATTTTGGACAGTCAATAAAATGGCTATACAGTGGTGGTGATAGGAACCAGACGTCTGAGGAGCTTAATGCCTCTAAAAGCTACGTTAAAGAAAGCTATTATATGAAATGGTTATAAATAAGCTGCCTGATGCCTGAAACACTGTTTTCATGGCTGAAGGTACATGTAGTCCCCAAAGACACCTCTTTTCCAGATTTAGCACTATTCTGCGATCATCAACATTACATATAAAAACTTAGAAGACACGGGCCAGTAGACATCAGAACCCCTGGTTCCTATTAGGCATACTGAAAGTAAATCCCACCGCATCAAGTTTCTCTAGAACAGAGCATTTCACATCAAACCACTCTGAATGACTCTGAATTTCCCTTTAAGCAAGTCAACTGATGAGGCCTCTGGATTAAAGTGATAGTTCAGTGAAAAATATAATGTACACATTTTCCCCTTTTCTCTGAATGTAATCATCCAAGACACCATTGGTATCTAAAGTTTCTTTAATTTAGCACAACTATAGCTAGAGGTGGGAGATATGGCAAAAATGTTATAACCAGGATAATTCAAGACATTTTTTCATGATGCACGATATGCATTACGATATTTTGTTTTTCTGGGCTTTAATAAGCTGGAACATGCAACATAGAACCTGTAGTGCCATATATAAACAACACTATAGTTATAATAATCTTACAACTGCAATTTTTATTCAATGTTTTACAAACTGCACTGCGTTAATTCCAGTTAAACAGGCCCAGTACTGTAGTGAAGCATGCAGTTTTTCAGTGTTTAAGTACTGAACAACTGCATGTCACAATATGCTCAGAAAAGCAAATGAAGAAGACATGTAGGGTTCACTCTTCATTTTGGATAGTTAATAAAATGGCGATATCTGCATTGTACACTGTAGAAAACTACTGTAAATTTACAGCTTTTATTTTACAATAAAATACTGGTTTGTTATTTTACAGGATTGTACTGTAAAAACTGGGCATTTAGAGCAGTGCATTGGTTTACAGTAACATACCAGACAATGCAATTTACATAATTTACTAGCAGCAGAGCTGCCAGGAAAGTATGGCAAAAAACTATTATATACAGTTAAATACGGTAAAATATTTACTGTGAATATACCAGTACTTGGCAACTTTGCTGGTAGTCAATTATTGTAGATTTTACATTAATTTTTTTACAGTGTAGATATTGGAACCCCTGGTTTCAATCACCACTGCAAGGATGTACGAATCACATAATTAAACCCATACTGAAGTAAAAGTATTGTACAAATGTAATGAAAACAATACTTAAAAGGGGAACTCCACCATTTTTCAATATTTCTGCATAATTATACAGTTATGATGTAAACAAAGTCATTCAGGGTGGTTTGATGTGAAACGCTCCATTCTAGACAAACTACTGATTCAGAATCGTTCACAGTGGTGGTGATAGGAACCAGACGTCCACCTCTAAAAGCTCCCTCACAGAAGTTCTTATATTAAATTGTTACAAATTTGTTTCCTGATGCCTGAGTTTTTCGATAAGTTTGAGAAGGTTTTTTGTCTTAAAAAGGCTATTTATAAAAATCATAGTGGAGAGGTACATGCAGGACATCCCCAAAAGAAGTCAAAGATGCCCAAAGATTTTTTTTTAGATGTACCACTATTTTACCATTTTCAACACTGCATATAAAAACTCTACTGTAAATGTAGATTCACTGGTTGTTTTGGATTGTAAATAAAGTGGCTATGTTTGCGTCAGACATTGCAAGTCTGTAAGAAATCAAGTTGGCAAGTTTCTCTACAATGAAACATTTCACTTCAAACCACTCTGAATGACTCTGTTTACATCTGAACAATTGAATCGTGCAGAAATTTTGAAAAAAAGAATGGTACAATTCCATTTTAATCAGCTGGTCATCTTTTCATACAGGTCTGTATTTGCTTGCACGTCTTTGGTAATCGTCTTTTCTCAGATACAGCTCTGACAGAGTAACTGGACTGACCCCTTGGGAGCACACCAGCATCCATGAATGTTGCCATGGTGAAATTGGCCATGACAAAGAGGAATGTGACGGCGACGCATGGTGGGAAAGCGAGAGACACATTCTCAGCCAGCCAAGGACACCTGCGGGACACGGGGAGAAAGAAGAAGTCAGAAGTCATGTTTACTATTACAGGCCGATGTTCCTGGACAACTACTGCAGTGTGTGGATGTGTGTTGTGGCCACCCAACACCAATCATGACCACGCTGCTTGAGCACGCGGTTTAAAATGGAACTTTTTATTCAGTCCTTTAGAACTTCTTTTGATCAGATGATGTTGAAAGATTTCTAGCCGTGGTAGCCTGTCTAAGACTTTTCATCTCGCCTTATCGCCTGTGGGTACACTATAGCTTCACACTATAAAGATGAAAGTGTGGATAATTCAAAAAAAGAAAATGAGATTAGTTGAGGGGATGATTCAAATCACAGAAGGAGATTAAATGGAAAGGTAATCATGTTTCCCCTGGATAACTGATGGGGCAGTAGATCACACATGCACTCTTTCAATCAGACACGTTGGGACTGTGTAGTTTGTGAAGGTGGACAATTTTTTTGGCCGATTAAATGAGTCTCCAGTACTTTCTATTAGCCACAGTAATATAAATAACATTGATTTCTCTTTAATGAGCCAGAATCAGTTGCCAATTAATATTACATGAATTAAATAAAGTGCTACATGACAAGTAAAAGGCAAGTTACTTACGAGTTACGCATATTTATGCTCCTACATTTGGGTCTAGGCCTACAGTACTATGCTAAATAAAGAGGCCATGCTTAATTTTATTAAAGTTCCAGTCAAAATGGCCTTTGATTTATCCATTTTAAGCATCACGAAAAGGTTTTTTGATATTTACTGTGTCCACTCTATGCCTTTATTGCAACTTCTATGTTTTCAGGAGACTCGCTTTCAGGTTTTCAAAGAAATCTGCCAGGATGTTTTTCCACACATCCAAAGTTCAGTCTAAGAAGTTGTTTGCATTTTCTGCTTTCATGATCCAAATATATAAAATATAACAAAAAATGATGTTGAGGTCTGGACTCTGGGGTGGTCAGTCCATTGTTCTGAGAACACCAACAGCTTATTTGTTTGATTTGCAATTTTTCTTCTTTTTTGTCCCATTTCTTTTTCTCAGTAAGGGCTTCTTGACAGCTACACATCCTTTCAGACCACAGTGTTGAGCTGTCTTCTCACAGAGGAAGGATGGCTGTGTATGTTTTCAGATCTGAAGCAAGAGTCGAGCTTGATTTGCTCCTCTCTCTTCATAATAAAAGCTTTAAGTGCTGATTATCTGATGGGGACAGTTTTGAAAGTTGTACTGTGTTTAAATGCTATTTTTATTACATTTGTACACATTGTTGATACCAAGACAGCTGTAGTTATGTCCATTCTGTCTCAGCACGGTCATCTTTGTGGAGAGGTGTGAACTGTTTTCACAGTAGAGGGTCCAGTCCGCTCCTTTGTCGCTCTTCATTGCTCACCAGCAGCTCAACACAGCGCCACAACATCTCACATAGCGAGCTAACAGTGTCCTAGTTAATCTGATAACACAGTTATGAAGAAAAATATTTTATTTGATTGTATTGTTTAATAATATCCAATTTCCATTCCACTGGCAGAATGGCCACTAGGTGGCCTGCAGAAAGAGACCACATTAGACTACTAGAGAAACCAGCCTTCAATTAACATTGTTAACCATTATTATGCTGCTTATTTAACACATTATTTTACAACAATAAAGTCCAAGAGCACAGAATAATTGTCTTTTAAAACAAAAATCAAAATAATTTCATACCACACAACCTCATCATCTATCATGTTGCATTTTCCACTATTAACTCTCACTATGGAAAATGTGATAGGAGAACACATCTGTCATTCAGAACTTATAGGACTCACTTGGATGATTCAGGCCCATTTAGTGTCAGTCTGGTCACCATATCAACCACCAAAGAGGTCAGTATCCTCATCTGGGGCCCAGCTCTATCTGGCTGGTGTCTGCAGTAATGGGGGTCAGGGGGAGGGGCTGGGGGAAAGGCTCTCCCTAAAGGAATGTCTGTTCTACGCCAGCTGCAGTTCCATAATCCCCAGATTACCGAATCAGGATCACCACCGCCACCCGCTTATCAGCAAACTGTGGAATCCGTATGCGAAAACCTCCACTGTGAGGACGCGGCGGCATTCGACGCTAGCCATCACAGTAAATGTATCGTTAAATAAATGAAACTTGGCAACCCAAAGTGCATCTCATCACCCACATGTCAGCAATATGGGCAGTTCTGAGTAGCAATCGTTTTCCTCCTCTGCGGATTTAGATTGGTCCTGGCATCTGGAGAACAGCTAGAATGAGACGACACCGAAGCTCATGAATCCTCATAAACGTTGAAATCCGACTAATGTTATTTATCTCTCTAGACGTGTTTACAAGTACGTAAACAATGGCAGAGTGCCGAAGATTTCTTACGTGTCCAAGAGCTCATAAATTCCAATTGAATTCCGATTAATGTTGGTTCAATCATTTCACTAAGGAAGTATTGTCAAGGCATTTCTGGCCAAGCAGAAAATGTGCATCATCAGATTCCTGGCTTTATCTTTTCCTCTAGGCAAGTAGCATTTTGCCTGGAGCATTAATCAATGACTGTAAAAGTGCCTGCAGAACTCTACAGTATTCTATCTTTTTTTCTATGTGGACTGTATTCTACTGTACAGTCTTCAAGATATCACTGCAGTATGAATGTTTATCCGATTCTAGACAGCAACAAAGTACGTCATTCCCGTAATATGGGTCATTCCACGAACAGGAGGTGCCATTCAGTAGAAAACCCACGAGGACAAAGCCCCTTTCCCTTTAAGAACCTGACTTCTTATCAAAAGGATTACTCTGGATGCCTCCACAAGACCTGACCAACATTGATTTCTGGCCATCTGGAGCGGAGGGAGAGTTCATTATACCACAGCCCGCGCAGACAAGCTCAAATTCCTAATGAAACAGCCGAGCACTTTAAAATCTAAGCTCTCGCCGCTGTCTGTGTGAAGGCCGGAGCAGAAAGGCCCCTTGCTGAAAATATATCAGTGATGTATTAATGATTTATATAATGCGAAAATGCAGCTCTCAGCTTCCTAGAAAATCCATCTGATGCATACGCTTCAGAATAGGTGATCCCTGTAGAACTTCGGGAACTCATTGTGAGAATTACTGATGAACCAAAGAAAGGGGTACAGCACTTCTAGTAGTGCTTTAAAAGTGATAGTTTGGTGAGAAATCAGATTTGTATGAAATTTCAATTTTCCACCTTACCCCAAATGTAGTCGATCAGCCAAGACAAGTTTGCTTCTTCAGCTTCGCATAGCCTTGGAGCTAATGTAGCGAACAATTAGTAGAAGCTTCTGGACACCATTTGGCATCGTGCTGACTGCAAGCCTAAATAATGCATGCCTGGAATATCAAATAGACTTGGTTATGCGGTTTCTAAATTGCTGTTATCCATAAAAACTGACAAAGGTAAGGGGCCAAATTTCAAGACTTCAAGACAGCTGCTACTACTGTTTTTATCTGCACAATGTGCTTTTGTCCGACTTTTGTCACACAGTGTCAGAAACCATATACAGTCATATGCTCAAGTTTGAGCACATCCAGTCAAATGAAGTTTTGTTTTTTTGTTCTTTTGCTACAGGGAACTTATTTATGCCATTTCTGCAATATTTAGTGCACAATTTCTATTCATTTGCTGAGCTTAGCATATCAGAAACAATAAACAAAATATAAAATATGCCATAACTTCTGCACAAGCCACATTTTGTTTTTCCCCAATATACTAAATTCAACAAATAAACAATAACTGAGATTTAAAACATGCAGAAGTGTGTTCTCTACGTAAACTTTCACTCAGAAAATCAACAAAATATATAATTTAACTGGGGCGCCTAAACTTTTGCATATAACTATTAGTCAATTTATTTACTACTTAACTGCTCGATGTGGACTGAGGCAAGTTATGTGATGATTTAAGCAATTTAAAAGATAAGCAGGGTATCCGCAGGTCATTATAAAAAAGTTCTGCTACTTAAAGGAGAAGCTATCCACAAGGAAGAGCTATTGGCATTCAAGTCGCTTTTGTGAGCATCACTGAAAGGGAGGAAACCCACACCAGCAGGATCTCACGAATGAACGCATGTATTAAGTTGTAACTACAAACTGTCTGTATAAGTGCAAAGTGAAACTGAAAAATATGCCGGAGCTTCATGATGCAATCATGTCAACATGGACCAGAATCTCAAAAAAATGTTTCCAACATCTTCTGGAGTCCATGTCACAAAAACTGGGGCTGTTTTGAGAGCTAAGGGAGGCCCTGTCCAGTTAGTGGTTGGTGAGCGTACATAGGCTTGCAGCTGGACAGTTGCAGGTTACATCCTGAGGTCACCAAGTCTCAAAACTACAATGAAACACCTTCAAACTTCCATCAGACCATTTAGAAGTTTTACACAAAAAGCTTCTTCTGTCATCAAACCAAAAGTGCCTTGAGTTCCATAAACATCAATATACATCTTACAAGAACTGTTTTGGTCAGGTAGCACAAATAGAGCTTTTTTGGAGGCAAATATGGTTTTGGATGGTTTAGTAAAAAAAGTCAAGTTTGTTAGGACATACCTGCACAATGCTAGCAGGTGTACATGAGATAAGCTTTTATTACTTAGTTACATTAGCCTTGTAGCTCCTCGACATAGTGTGTGGGAAACACTATCATCTCTTAATCCAAGCCTCCACTGATCAAAAGAGACCCTGGAGGAAGACTGTAATGGACTGACAATAGCATACAATGTTGTGCTGGAACTGTTAATGAATTGTAGTCATATCATTATTAAGATCAGACATAATTCCACTTTATATAGCTCCATTACATTTACATATACCATTCACTGAAATTAGTTCACCAGATAAATGAGACTTCTGTAGGATCACCTCAGTGGGACTATTAAGGACGGCTACATTTCGAACCAAACAAAAGCTGTCAGGCCCACATTAATTCTGCATACTCGAGGATTGATGGTGGCATCCAAAGAGCAGATGGACTCCAGTGCTCTCAG